ATTTTCGGTCAACATTTTATTTGTGTGTTAGTGAGAGAGGAGAGAAGAGAGATAAAGAGAGAGAGAGAGAGAGAGAGAGAGAGAGAGCTTTCGGGAGAAATAGTTATTTAACTTTAATTCAATGCTTTAATGAACATTAACGTATGTTATTTGTTAAATAAAAATTATTATTACTATAACATAATTAAAAATAAAATACATAATAGTTATACATAATATTATAAAGTTTATATATATTTTCAGTAGTTAAATTAAAACTTATTAAGTATAAATATTAAGTAAATTTTTACATTATGATTATATTTAAATATTCATTTTAAATTAAGTATATTATAAAATAAAATACAAAGTTTGTTAATTTTTACTCATCTGACATTTAATGACTTATAATGAATACTTTATACCCAATTACTATATATTAATTGCAATTATAATTAATTCTAATGAAACTTTATATTTAGGGCTCACATTCATAACGCCATACACCGTATGTAATGTGATATTAGTTATGATGTGTTTTACGCCATAATAAAGTGCAATTGTTTTGAATGGCTACTTAAGGTAACAAAACAAACTCTATTTTAATCTTTAATTATAAATGATTTATTTGTTTGTAAACCAGAAATAAAGGCGAATTGTTGTTATTTACTACAAATATAATATTAAATTGTAATTAAAACAGTAATACGATGGAAGTAGCTGATGGATTGATAACCATTCCGAGTCCATGGGATCGTATTAACATCATTTCAAAACTTACATTCAGGTAATTTATTTAAGAAATTTACTATGTTTAATTTTACTCAATAATGTGTCTAAATAGCATATTAAATGCTGGAATAATATACAATCTTTAATTTATCTATCTCTGTGTTTAGAAACCTTAATAAATTTTGAATGAATAATCCGATTTAAAAAAAATAGAAATAATATTAAATTGAAACTTATTTTAAATAAAAATCCCATGTATATAACAAACTTTTATTCTATATACAAACAATAAAGCTAAAACGTTTGCACCTTAAATAATTTCCTGTTTTAATTTAGTTGGATGTGGAGTCTATTCATTCGGGCGCACAAAAAAGACCTCGAGTTCAGTGATCTCTACCGCTGCCCAAAATCAGATGAGACACATCGGGTCCGACAAAAGCTGGAAATGTAATACAAAAATAATTAATTATATTTATTATTAAAATAATAAAAATACAATGTTTTGTATGTATTTGTATAGCGAATGGAATAAACAATTGAAAAGTAAAGGCAAAACATCGCTATATTGGGCACTATTCGCATCATTCGGACCAGAACTTATTGTCCTTTATTTCCCCGATGTAATTAAGGTATAATATGCATAGATCATATCAAAAATGCCTATTATACCAATAAATATAGTGACCATTTTCAAGAAATTGTATTTATATTTTGCAAACAAACAGGAATTGGGACTGAGTTTGTTTCAGTCGTATTGTATAGTTTATTTGGTGAGATATTTCAACAATGACCCCAACACTAGTCAGTGGTGGGCCACGTGGGCCGCCGTGGGTATTGTGTTAACCGGAAGTGTCCACATGTTTGTCCTACATATAACAGCAGGATTGAGCAGCAAAGTGGGGGTCAGAATCCGAGCCGCCTGTTGTGCCCTAATCTACCGCAAGGTATGTCCCATAAAAGTGTATACTTTTGTAATTTTATTGTCTATTTAATAGATTTTTATATAATTTTTTATAAAGTTAATGCGTTTAAGTCATTCATCACTCGGACAGACAACTGTTGGCCAGTTATTGAACATTATGTCCAACGATATACAGAGATTTGATGAGGTATTTTATCATAAAGTGTTAATTAAATATTTAATTATATGTTGAACATTGATCATTAAAACTAAAAAGTGATCTAGGTCAAGTGTTTTTAAAAAGTAATTTTTATTTTGAAATAACAGTTTGCAATTTATTCGCGATCATTGTTTGTGGCGCCACTGAAGGCGGCGATTGTGTTATACCTGTTGTGGTCACACTTGCGGTGGGCGTGTCTGACGGGAATGGGAATACTTGCGCTGTTTATACCATTTCAAGTACTAATGGGTCGTATGTTTCGGCGTATACGGCAAAAGACGGCCGAATTAACCGACAGTCGAATCCGTTTAATGCAAGAGATTATCGCCGGAATGCGTGTCATAAAGATGTACGCCTGGGAACAGCCCTTCGCACTATTGGTGGAAATCGCTCGCAAGTAAACATATAAATGATAACATGTTTTAGTAAACATGTTGTTTGTAAATATTAAACAAATAATCAATTAATATCAGGTCTGAAGTAAAACAAATACGTTATTCAAATTTTTTGAAAGGAGTTAATCTTTCGCTGTATTTTGTTTTATTACGGGTTATAATATACGCCTGTTTTCTAACATATATATTGATGGGCGAGAAGTTGTCGGCGGAGACGGCGTTCGCCACAATTGCTTACTTTAATGCCTTGCGTTGGGGAATAGCGAATAACGCACCCCTGGCTATAGCCGCTTTCAGCGAGTTAATTATAGTTATCAAACGTATCCAGGTAAATGTGTCGTAATTTATTTAATGATTGATTTGATAATTTTTAATTTGATTTCAAATCTAAAATTATTTAATTTCATAGAATTTTCTATTACTCGAAGAGATGAGTGGTTTGGATGAGAGGGAAGGGAAAGACAACGAGGCGTTCATTTCGGGAGAAAATGAGATATTTCTCGAAGTAATGGAAAACACTTCGAGTAATGAAGAAAAAGGCGTTTTTATGGATAATATGAGCGTTCGTTGGAATAATGTATGACTTTTTAAATGTCTTTCAACACGTGTTTAGAGTTTTATGAATACATTAGGAGACGACTGAACCCACGCTTCGGGACATTAGTCTGAGTGTAAAACCCGGACAACTGCTGGCTGTCGTCGGATCCGTTGGCAGTGGAAAGGTATGGAGTTTTACATACAGTAATTGCAATTAATATTATAATTAATAATAATTATTATTCTTATCCAAAATTAGAGTTCACTATTAATGTCAATACTGAATGAGATATCGCTAGTGTCGGGTCGGGTGGCAGTGAGGGGTCGGGTGTCGTACGCGCCGCAGGAGTCGTTAGCTTTCATAGCGAGTGTTCGACAGAATATTCTGTTTGGCTCTCAATATAATGAAGAGAAATACAATCGAGTGGTGAAGGCGTGCGCTTNTTTACATTATGTAATTTCATATAAGATTTAATTGTGTTTATTATTTAAAGATATTCTCGGAGGAAATGCTGGACTTGTGGGGGAGAGAGGGCTGACATTGAGTGGCGGACAGAAGGCTAGGCTGAGTCTGGCCCGGGCTCTGTACCACTCGGCAGACATCTACCTCTTGGACGACCCCTTGAGTGCTGTTGACACACATGTGGCCAAACATCTCTTTCAGGAGTATAAGTGATGCGAAATATTTGATGACTTACTTAATGTTTTTATCATTAATTAGTTGTTGTATTGAGTACCTGAAAAACAAGGCGACTATTTTAGTGACCCATAGCATCCAGTTTCTCAAAGACGCGCATCAAATACTTGTGCTCAACGACGGCGAGTGTGTGGCCATCGGGTCCTACACTCAGCTCAAAGAGNTCAAATACTTGTGCTCAACGACGGCGAGTGTGTGGCCATCGGGTCCTACACTCAGCTCAAAGAGCGCGGCATTGATCTCATGGCATATCAGAGACAAACCGATGAAACACATCATACCAGAGCTGATAAGAGGAGGACGTCTGTCACACCATCGATGGTCTCATCCCTTAGTGACGGATCGGATGTGACAGACATTAGGGAACCAATAGAAGTGGACGACCAGGAAGTAAAGGCCGAACTCAAAATGATTGGATCCGTTGAAACCATTGTTTATATGGAGTACATTAAGGCCGGCGCCGGACATCTACTCATAACAATTACCATTTTGTTTTTAATCGCTGCACAAGTCTTCAATCAGGGAAGTGACTATTGGCTTAGCTTATGGTCAGTTATTATTATGAGAAAATTTTTTTTATATTAATATAAGACAATATATTAGGACTAATGATATGATTAAAAACCCGGAAGAAGTTGATCAGACATTTGACTTCATTATCTACACGAGTCTAATGTGTGGTCTGTTTGTGTCGGCCCTGTTATCCACCATTTGTTTCTACATAATGTGTATGAGATCTTCGGTTAATCTCTATAACCGAATATTCTATGCATTATTACGATCACCGATACATCTGTTTGAGAGTTCACCCATCGGTAACACTGTTTATATTTTAGAAAATAAATAGATGTTAATTAAGTTTACGTTTACTTTTAGGACGAATACTAAATAGAGTTTCAAAAGACACGGGAATTATTGACGAAGTGTTACCATCGATTGCCTTTCAATTTATAATTGTAAATTACCGTAATTTAAATTATTTATATTACATTGAAAAATGTGTGGTTAAACAGTATGAGTCATACTGTATGACCAGCTCACATGCTAATTACTTAAATATAGTAAGCATAGGATATAGTTAGCTCAAACAGATCTGATTGCTACTCTATAGCATTGACAGTGCATCGCTCATATGTTTGGCTACTCACTCATCACTAAGGCTTCCAATTTTCGGGAAATCCCGAATAAAATAGTTAACAAAATCATCGGGAATTATATACCATTAGGTTTAGGGGTTATAATAGACCAAAAATATATAAGTTTTATTTTCCCGATTTTTCCCGATTTTGGATTATTTTGGGAAAATTCCCGATTTCAGCATATTTTTGAGAAAATTCCCGAAAAGTCTATTTTATGACAAATATTCCCGAATTTAGATATTTTTCGATGAAAATTATTTATTTAATAACTATAATATTTCACCAAAACTCTTAATAAAATTCTAACCTGAATATAACTGAAATTAAAACATGTTTTGCAATCCAAAACATGTCTTACAAAATATATATTGATTCTCTTTGTCGAAGTCTAGCGTTCTTTCTCTCAGTTTAAGATTATTCTGAGAAATAGAAGACTGAAAAAAGCTCAAATTTTACGTCATTTCTAAATATATTTTATTTCTAAATAATTTATATGTATAATGATTGTGTTATAATTGAGTAAAATCGTATTTCCCGAATTTTCCTTATTTTGGCCTTTTAATTCCCGAATTTGGATGTTTATACTCCCGGAAAATGGAAGCTTTACTCATCACTGCTTTGTAGTGCTGTAGTATATCTCTAAATTTACATGTATTGCATAAGGTTCAGAAGAAAATATTTTCAGTTTATATGGATGTAAACGTGGTTATTTTGGGTAATATAACAATAACGTCCCTGTATGCGTTAAATTAGCATCCCACAAACATAAAAGTAGATACTATATTCAACTATTTATAAATTGAATATTTTTATAATCCCATAGAATTTATGTTTAATCATTGGTTGTCTTGTATTGAATGCAATCGTCAGTTGGATATTAATATTCCCGGCAATACTATTAATAATATTGGTGTTTATTTGTCGATATTTTTATATCAAAGCCGCGCGTGATATCAAGCGTATGGAAGGGTTGTGTATGTTTTGTATCATTTTACTTTTAAAATTATTTAACCTCTCTCTGTCTCAGCCCGGAGTCCGGTGTACTCACACGTGAACACAACGCTGTGTGGGCTGACATCGATCCGTGCGTTCGGCGCACAGCATATGTTTGAGCGTCAGTTTGAAGTCCACCAAAACGACAACACCTCTACTTTTTTCCTACTTGTTTGCAGCACTCGAGCGCTCGGAGTCTTAGTGGACACTATTTGTATGGGTTATGTGAGCGCCGTTATCGTCTATATCATGATCAGTAGTGACGGTATGTTTACATTATGTAATTTCATATAAGATTTAATTGTGTTTATTATTTAAAGATATTCTCGGAGGAAATGCTGGACTTGTGTTAACTTCGGGTATAAATATTATTATTGTTACAAACATTTTAATTAATGTACTTTGAAAATGTATCTTGAACATAAGCTTTATCATTGACAACTGTGGTTCAATGGTCTGTTAAATTATCTGCCGATTCCGAGACCTATATGACTGCCGTCGAGCGAGTTAGTGTCTGCCGGTGCTGTGGCCACGGGATGTGGTTTAATAAACACCGACGCCTGGTAAGAATACCAGCTTCAGCTGATACCATAGCGTCGTTAAATAACAGTATACTTATACTTATACTTATACTTATACTTAACATTTTAATTAATGTACTTTGAAAATGTATCTTGAACATAAGCTTTATCATTGACAACTGTGGTTCAATGGTCTGTTAAATTATCTGCCGATTCCGAGACCTATATGACTGCCGTCGAGCGAGTTCTTGAATACACAGCCATTAAACCCGAGGCAGAGCTCGAGTCCACTCCCGATCGGAAACCACCTAAAAATTGGCCACAAATGGGAGAAATAGTGTTCAAAGATATGAGTCTTCAATACAACGAATCGCCGCATAAAGTGCTCAAAAATATCAATGTTTGCCTCAAAGGGGGAGAAAATGTGGGAGTCGTGGGCCGGACGGGCGCCGGCAAGTCGTCACTTATTGCAGCCCTCTTTCGACTCACAGAACCTTTAGGACAGATATTGATAGACGGGGTGGACATCGGGTCCATAGGTTTGCATGACTTGAGAAGTCGTATATCAATCATACCTCAGGATCCGGTGCTCTTCACGGGTTCGGTGCGCAGAAATTTGGACCCTTTTAGTGAACACTCGGACGACAAGCTCTGGTCGGCTCTGTCTGAGGTACAGCTCCGGGATGTCGTGCAGTCAATGCCGGGACAGTTGGACGCAGTGGTGACAGAAGGGGGCAGTAATCTGAGTGTAGGTCAGCGCCAATTGGTATGTCTGGCGAGAGCTATACTACGAGACAATCGGATACTAGTGTTAGACGAGGCGACCGCTAATGTCGACCACAGAACCGATGCTC